TGTCTCTTGCTTGAGCAGGGGGCTGGACTAGAAGACCTCCAAGGTCCCTTCCAATTTTATTATTCTATGTTCTATATTCCTCTGTAGGTTATATCCCTAACTGTTGGACTGAATTTGTGAATTATGCATTAGCAATAGACTGCAAGTTCCTTTCTTTCAGTTTGGATCCAAAATTCCACTTAACCTGCTGCATCAGACCCAACCACCAACAATATTTACAAACACACATACCCACCATTCAGAATGAGTGAATCTCCACTTCAGTGCAAAACTTACTGAGAGACTAGACAGACTACCAAATGCCATTCTAATCATTTTGTAAGATCCTTGTGAGAATAAAAAAGAGTGGACAACTTCAAACACCCCCCCCCATTTACATTTAATTTGCTGGTGTGAAAAATCATTAGCACAACTGCCTGACAATTTGAGTCAAGAAAAACACAATCGTGTAAATTTTAAATAGGTTTTTTAAAAATTCCTCCTTCTAAATGTTTTCCCACACAAACACATATAACCCAAAAGCGTAAAGATAAATCCCAGCTTCAGTGCATTTTGTACAAAAGATAAAATTTCACGCATGAACTCAGATCAGGCCTTGCCTGCTTTCCTTTTTTTAGCTGGAAAGGCAAAATGGCAGCCAGTAACTTAAATTATTGTTTTTTCAAGTCCCTTAGTGAAAAAAAAGCTACTTGTGTATTGTACATTGAGCTATTGATTGTGTTAGAGCAGGGGCCTTCAAACTTGGCCCTTTTATGACTTGTGGACCTCAACTCCCAGAATTCCTCAGCCAGGCACATTGGCTGAGGAATTCTGGGAGTTGAAGTCCATCAGTCATAAAAGAACAAGGTTGCCTACCCCTGGTATAGGGTCTCCTGTTCAAGCAGACAATTGAACTAGAAGACATCCAAGGTCCCTTCCATCTCTGTTATTCTATTCTATTCCGTTTTCTATTCCTCTTTCCCAGAGTAAGAAAAAGAAGTTCCCTGGCCACTATGGGAAGCTATCTCCCAGTCAGTTGTTCCCACTGATCTCATTAGCCTAGTCTAATTTAGATAATGTTCCTGGCTGCACAGTGCTTTAGATTCAATTCTGGGGGGAAAAAGTGCTTTGGAATATATAAAGTGCAAAATGCAGAACCTGCCAAAGTCTTATTAGAGTACACATATCCAGGATTGTATGACTCCTAGAAATAAATTCATCTGTCTTAATGAGTCACCAAGAGTGCTGCATTCATACTTCTCTGCATTCCTTTCAAAACTGAATCTGGAACATCACACTTCTGTACGTGATTTGCATGGGTTTTTTAGGCCAGCTATGGACACATACAATTTGTTCCTTTAAATTCAGTTAGCTGTCTCTTGGAAAATAACACATGCAGTGCTCGTACTTAGTGGGGGGGAAAGAGAGCTCTGACTGGCAATGCATTGTTTAACTCATATAACTGAGTGATTGTTGTCTGCCACTTTCCTCATGATGAGCTGCCAGGTAAATTATATAAATTAAATTTTATAACATATTGCAAGTTAATATATATCAGCTTAATTTCAATCATTCCTCTACAGAGCACGCAACTGCACTCTGAATTATGGTGGCTTTATAGGCTAGTGACAGTGTTTTGTGCCATGCTAAACTGCTATTCTCTAGTTCTGACTTGCTAAGGCCACTCCAAACCTCACTTAGCAAGCCTTAAAAAGAGAGAGAATATAATTAATTTTCTCCCACTGTGAGCGCACAGACCCCAACCTCAACCATAATGAAAGAAGATGGATGTTAATTTCCAGCAGAAGCGATCAAATGGAGTTAGCAGTGCGCCAAACTATATTTCTGGGCTTCTTGTATTTCGCAGAATTTTCCAGCTGGTGTCAATTTAACATTAATTAAGATTAATCGTGTTTCTCTAGGGCACAAAAAGGAGCTCCTCTATAATACATGTAGAGTTGAAAAATGATAAGGCAGGCTTGTCCTGCTATCTCTTGATTGATATGAAGTCTACATAAGCAGAATATTTTGCCTATCTCCTCCAATTGTCATAGTTATACTGAAATCTTCACAAGAGTTTTGAAAATTCGACTTGATATATTCATCTAGGCCTGGGTTTCTCATGTTGGCTGGGAAATTCTGGGAGTCCACACATCTTAAGGTTTGAAAAATGTTGATCTAAGCTTTATCCTGCTTAAAAATTAACTCAGGAAATTGCTGAGGCAAGGTTCAGAAAGATAGTCTGGTTCTTCAGAACAGGATCTTTCATCCATCTGTGTTAAAGCAACTCTTGTATTCTCTGTATTTCAAAAATGGTAGCTCATTTTTAAACATTGGTTAGCCATTTTTGTATCCTTAATATTTGCACTTTAAAGTCTTTTTCTTCCTGGGACACATGACTGAAATTAATCCCTGATCTTAAGTTGGTTTGTTAACTTTTTAAAAATTATTTGGGTACTATGTCTAATGGTTGTGGAACTCTATGTCCTTCCATTCTCCATTCAGTAACACAAGTTCTAAAAGGACATGCTGAATTTGTCATGGTAAGAATCACTGGCTTAACTCTCCACCTCTTCTGTTGTGTATTGATTGTCCAAAAAACGAACCAGTAATCCTCCAGTGTACAACTCCCAGTAGCCACAATTACTGTAGTTTAAAGAAGCTGAGAGTTTTAATTCAGCAGCATCTGTCAATACAAGTTTCCCATCCCTGGCTTAAGACATGCTGGATTTCTATTGTATAGAATTCCACATCTTTAAAGAAGTAGATATTTGTACCATATATTCCTTTCAATATATTTCTCAAGTTTTTTCTTGAGTCCCATTCCTTGGAATGGTGTTTCTCCACTGTTTTTCAGTGAAAGGACAACCAAACTATCTGTCTCTCTAGTTTTCTTGTTCAAGGGGGGATGAAATCCCCAGCCCCCTCACCAAACCAATAATGGGGTACATTACCAGGAGCATAGCATCCAGATTACAGTAAGTAATTCTTCTATTGTAGTCTGATGTGGTCAGACTATATATTTAGCATTATATTGTAGTCTGATGTGGTCATTTATGGAGCATGATCTCCCAATTTGAGGCACCACAGTTCAAAAAGGACAGTGACAAACAGGAAAAAGTTGAAAGGTGGACAATTAAGGTGGCAAGAAGCCTGAAAAGACATTTAATGAGGGATAGTTAAAGGACATGGGTATGTTCAACCCACAGAAAAGACAACTGTTATAAGGGGAGATATGAAAGCACTCTTTCTGAAGCACGGTCACACAGAAAAGTCAGTAGTCTTTACTTTCTCTGCATCAGTGAGCAGGACCAGAACCAATAGTTCTTCCAGTATCTTCACTATTTTTAATTAATTAATTAATTATTCAATGTATATGCTGCCCATCTCACACAATGCATGTAATTATACACAAAACTTTTATGGGGATATGGCCATGGCCTCTTAACTGGATTCCCATTCAGCTATAGAATAGAATAGGATAGAATAGAATAGAATAGAATAGAATAGAATAGAATAGAATAGAATAGAATAGAATAGAATAGAATAGAATAACAGAGTTGGAAGGTACCTTGGAGGTCTTCTAGTCCAACCCCCTGCTCAGGAAGAAAGCCCTACACCATTTCAGACAAATGCTTGTCCAATTTCTTCTTTAAAATTTCCACTGTTGGAGTATTCACAACTTCTGGAGGCAAGTTGTTCCACTGATTAATTATTCTAGCTATCAGGAAAATTCTTCTTAGTTCTAGGTTGCTTCTCTCCTTAATTAGTTTCAAATCCATTGCTTCTTGTCTTTCCCTCAGGTGCTTTGGAGAATAGCTTGACTCCCTTCTCTTTGTGGCAACCCTTGAGATATTGGAATACCACTATGATGTCCCCCCTCGTCCTTCTCTTCATTAAACTAGACATACCCAATTCCAGCAACCGTTCTTTATATGTTTTAGCCTCCAGTCCCCTGATCATCTTTGTTGCTCTTCTCTGCACTCTTTCTAGAGTCTCAACATCTTTTTTATATTGTGGTAACCAAAACTGGATGCAGTATTCCAAGTATTCAAGCAATCGCCTCTGTTGTTTCATGCAGTAGTGTGTACTGGTTACCAGTAGTTAGCAATATCATACTGCCTTACATTAGTAGACTACAAGCTCTCAATTGTCAATGATCAAACATGACAATGCACAGTCCATCACAAGATCGAAATCCTGTAGGCCAGCATGGAAAACAGCTATTCATTTAATATCTACCCAGTTTAACTCCAAGAATGTCTGGAGAGAGGAATGGTCCAAGGTTCCTTCTTAGTAAACTCTCTACCAAACCACCAGGTTTCAACCTGCCTTACTCTGTATGGACGAAATTGAACAGATGTGAGTAAAACATTAAAATATTACAGTTATTAATATCAGCATTAAAATTAGCATTAAATTGTCAAAGATAGCGAGAAAGACAGCAAGATACACATGGGATGGAGATGGAATCTTCTTTTGGTCCACTAGCTATCTATAGTATGATTCACTCCCATTGGGGTCCCAGGCCAAGTGGCAGAGCCAGGTTTTGAGGCCCTGTCAGAAAGCCAAGAAAGTAGAGGTGATATCACCTTGAGGAATGCAGAAAAGTCTCCTCTTGCCATTAAGAAGTCTTCTCTAATAGTGATTTTGCCTTCTGTAATAGATTTAGACTCTGAGAAAAACAGGGAACAGCCTTAATTCTGTGAACCAATGCTTTGGTTATTTGAAGCATGCTATTCAATCACCATCACTCTGAAGTCTAAGCATACCCATTTCTCTTTGTAAGGTTGAATACCCTGATTATCCTTATCCTCTTTCTTTGGACCTTCTCCACCGCTTCTTTGAACCTTTGCCCAGAGCTTTGCAGAGTACTTGAGATGGAGTTTCACCAGAGCAAAACTTCATTTAAGCTCATAATAATCCATATTATCTTTCACTACCAGACTCTCTATTTGGTTTTGCATGTAGATAACCTTCATATTTCTAAGCCTGACTCTTTCTCTCTCTTCCTTCCCTAGCTTGCTCGCTACACCAAAGAAGGATATCTGCATTTAGGAGCTCTTGGGACTACAATATTGCTCCCAGATACCCGCTGCCTGGTGGATAATGTGAAGAATAAGCTCCCTCAGTTGCTTGATTGCGAGAAAGTCAAGAGCAGCCTCCACAAGCGTTGGAATTTTATACAGGTTCGTGCTATCTGCAATTATTTTCATATGAATTATTTGTGGTAAACCTTTGTTTTTTTTAGCCGCAGTCTATGTTCAAAATCACCCCTGCTGCTGGAGCATATTAATAACTATAAGGTTAAACCCTAGCCAGATCTTCCCTTCTGTAAGTCATCCTCCTCCAATAAAAGTTCAAAGAGAGGTTTGATGACCTTTACAGCTTTTCTGCAAAGCTTGTAAAAAAAGTGTGATGCTTATTCTCAGAAGATCTAAAGCCTAAGCTTTCTAATCTTCATTTCTGCTTTTCCAGCCAGCTGTTTCTGAAAACTTTTAGAATGGAGCTAGGTGTCTATAGAGATTCTCAGTCATCCAGCTCATGGTTATTTCAAAAGTCCTTTTTTCAAAAGGCAATTGGACTATGTTTTTTTTATTATTATTATTTTGAGGAAGAAAAAGAGGTTTCGCTTCTCATCCAAGAAGCTTCATCAGTTCTGGCTAGATGGTGGCTGGGATGTCAGAAGTAATCCTTCCATCCATCCCACCATTCCATCAGATTAAGCTTCTTGGATGAAAAGCAAAATGTCTGCTTCCTCAAAGAAAAAAGCACCTTTGAGGCAATGGGGCTAGGAGTAGTAGTATTGTGCCATATTGGGCCTTCATCATCCCCAAACTGGGCTTGATCGCTAACTACAAAGTTTTTTAAAAAAAAAATTAAAGGAGAAGAAAGGACTGGAAATCTACCTGGCCATTTCATTAAAATCATATATCCTCCTTAAAATATTGAATCCTTTTTAGCAGTGAGCTGAAAGCAATTTCCCATTTTCTCCGATGTATATACTACCAATATTCAGTAGAGCAAGAGCCAGTTTTGAATACACAATTTGTTACCTCATTTTGATAAAAGGGAGACTAGAATTTAAAAATGAAAACAAAAACAAACAACCACACACTTTATGAGAAGAGCCAACATTAACAGTGAATGGAATATGCATCAAATAATTATTCAGTTATCTCTGCTACCCTATGCTTGTAAGCCACTGAAATTAAACCTACATAAAGCTAAATAGAGAGTTTCAGTTTATTCCAGTCCAGCTTGGCTATATTAATTTTAATTTTAATGTGGTGATGTTCCCATAGCTGTTTCATAATATATGAAGCAGCTCTGCACTAAATCAAACCGCTGGTCTAGCTATTCTTGTGTATTATTATGAAGTACATTCTATTTGATTATGTGAGCTAGTTTGGAACCACTACCTTCAGTTAGTATGTGGAATCTGTGAATTCTTTGTTGCCTTGATGCAAAATAAGTGTGGGCATTTTACTCCCTCCCCCAAAAAAATGTTAGAATTCTGGAAGCTGCCTAATTTCCTACCAAAATCAGCCATGCTTGCATTGGAGAGATTTCCCAACCTTGACCAAACATGCCAAGGATTGAAGCTGGAACATTTGAAAGTAAAGCACATGTGATAATATCTCTCAGATATATAACTGTCCTGCCTAGATTGTTTGGCTGCAGTATGAAATAGACCATGGACAGGGCATGTGTTGGTGATGGTAATAGGCTGTCAAAAAGTCAGTATGATGTTTCAGAACACCATCTTGATTTCTTTTTTACACCATCTCCCTACTGTCCTTGGCTCTGAGGCAAATTTTTGGGCAAAAAAACAGCAACTCTGGCACATGAATAGATGCTTGCTGCAGCCACTTCCTTATGCAGCTTCAGCATGATCCTGAGAAAGTTCAGAAGCTGGAGACAGGTGTGGTCTACATGAGCATTCATTCTCCAAAGAATTTCTTTTGCCTTTAGATCCAAAGCCCTTCATAGCCCTTAGACAAAACAATCCACTGAATAAAGTGAAATCCAGATTCCAGTACAATGGAAAGTATGACAATATATTTTCTTGAGATTTCTCTAAAGAAAGTTCTCTGAAGAGTTGCTGGGGTTCCAAACTGAACAAAATGAAACAAAGTTATGGCTACGGACACTTATTATCAATCAAATAGGATCTATTAGCGTTGTCAGGGGTTCTTAACTCAGTAGCCCACTTGTACTTTTGAGTAAACCCATGTGGAGTGAATGCATACCAAAGAAGAGTCCAGTTGGAACAACACAAGAACAACAGTTCCATGGACAAGCTAATTTAGCAATAGAAACTCCTAGTCATAAGTCTCCCATAGGGTTGTGTTGCTCTAGTACAGGGCTACTGAATTCTCAGTAGTGAGCCAAAGAGCTTCAGATCCACTCTGTTGAGTTCATACAAGATGATTTGGGACATAGTTGTATTAAGGTTCCTGCATGCCTTACCATTGGCCATGCTGGAGGTTTATACTTTTCCTGTCCCTATAGTGAGCCAGTGAAGAGGCACAATGGTAGCATATGTATACTATACAAGAAAAATGCTGAATTGCCATATTTTTCTAGGTTCATATACCAATACTATATCATATATCAACATACCAAACATACAGATGAACTGTGTAGGCTGGATTTGTACATGTCAAGTTTGTCCTGAATTACAACTTCAAATATTCCCAACTGGCATGGGAATTGTAATCTGACCTATTAAAAGTTGATGGATGTAAACACTGATTTCTCTGTCTCTCTCTGTCTCTTAACAATAATCCAGCATGGTGCAATCCTAAATAAAGGGACAGGACGCTGCTTGGAAGTTGAAAATAAAGGCACATCTGGTATGGATCTTATTCTCCGCAGCTGCACAGGACAAAGATGGACAATTAAACATTTTATCAAGTAGAGAGCTTTTTATCCATTGTTCAAGAATTCTGCAGATTGAGTTCTCACCTGGGGAGACATTTTTATCAAACCTTCAACTCTCATTCACAATATCAGGGAAGACTCATAAGGGAAGGTGTTTGGGTTTTTTTTTATATTTTATTTATTTGAACTTTGGTTATCTCTTTGCCAAACTTGACTGACTGACAGAATGAAAACATTCCAGATCTACAGTTGTCATTATCCTGAAGGTTCAAGGCACATCTTGACTTAAAAGGATAGTAACGAAAGCTTACAAACATTTCCAAAAATAACCTCAATCCCCACTCCAGATACAGGACCAGCAAATTATATTTGAGGTTCAGCGATGAAACTTTTGATACTCTTTTATTTGAATGCACACAATCTTGGAAATGACATAATATATTAATATTGAATACCATGTCAAAAGATAAAAAAAAGAAGTCATCTTCCATGAAGGTAGCATGAGATGTCTATCACAGCCTCATTTGGACGTTTCAAGTGCTCTGGATTTCTAGATGGATATTTTATAAACTTTTTGCAGAATGCGTCCTTCATACCAAGCACATCATATTGTTATTAACTTGATGCTACTAGTTCAAAGAGGAACAAGGATTATCCCAAAATGTCATGAAGAACCAGGGGTGTCAATGAAATCCACCATGGAGTTTTAAAAGAAGAGAGTTGCAGCACACAGGAACATGGACTCTGCCATTGCAGTGAATGAACCCTAAAATCTGTATTAGTCCCATCAAAATTTAACACACACGGCATTAAACCAATTTGTTTGTGAAAGGTACAGCCATAAAAGATTGTTTCTGAAATTGCATACATCACAGTGCAGTTGTATCAGACATACAAGAGCCTAAATAACAGGCTAAAAAATAGATGGCTATGGAAAAAAATCTATTTGTGTGGCTGCTAGGAGCTAAAAATGACTTGATGGTATATAATCAATCAATATGGTGGAGAAGTGCAGATTTAAAAAAACAAGAGTGGAAAGGGAAAAATTTTATCACAATGAGCATCAGGGAAAAGTATGTTTACAAAAAAAAATCTTGGAATTTCCATTAAAAGGCTGGTACTTTAGGAGAAAATGTATGTAATATTATTGAATATTTAAGGAAAGTTGTGTTTGAAAACTTATGCAAATAACTGATTTAAAGAAATGGATAAATGAGACAGGTTCTGCCTTGCTAGAACAAATCCTAGAGCAGATTTTTGCTGATTTATATATCTCAAGCAGTATTTTTATAGCCAACATAATTACAATCTGTGTTTTCTAGGGATCAAATTTTCTGCCCTTTGTCAGTCTTAAAAAGAAAATACACTTATTAGTCAATGATCAATAATGAGGATGTTTTCATGAGGAACTATATTTCTCCCAGCTTCCCTATAAGCAGTGGATGTGGAATGTGAAATATGCAATCTTAATTTAAAGAAAAATCCCATGAAAATGTGCTTAGAAACAAACAAACAAACAAAAACTCACACTGTTTCCTACTTGGAACGAAATCCCTTGTCGTGATTTTGGCACATATTGATGGGCTTCCTTAACCATTGGCTAATTTAAATTCATCACAGTTGGTGTAAGAAAAAGAAAAAGCTTCTTTAAAACAGAAAATTCTCTTTCTCCCTCTCTCAGGACATCCAATTAAATAATCCAAGATCTAAAATTCTGGTAAGACAAGAGGGTTCTCACATGACATATTTAACCTGGTCATTTGAACACTTAGAGTTTGCATCTGGATACTATGCTAAGAATGGTTTGTGTTGATCTTTGTTAGTTTCTTTATGGCCTAGCCCGATGTACATCCTGCTTGGTTGATTTCTGTGCAAGTAATTCTACAAACCCAGAAAACTGGATTAATTCAGTAATCAGGTTAAATGGTTGTGAATGCCACTGTTGTTCAATTTGTTTAATTAAATTCTTTAATTTCCAGAACTAGTCGCCATAAAATATGTTCAAGGTCTATCAACAGCTATTAGCTTTGATGGCATAAAAGGAATGCCCACATTCAGATGACTTGCTGTACTAAATACCATTAGAAACAGGGCATCAACAGCAACATTCTACAAACTGCTAAATAGTTATGATACACATTGTTGGTTGCATAGGAAAACAGGGCCTTAAACAAGATAACATTTGGCATGTTCTATATTTTATCCTATATTATAGGAAGCCCTTGACTTACAAGCAGTCACGTAGTGGCTGTTTAAATTTATGAACAAATTTCTCCAGAACTACTTACAATCTGGTTTCAAAGTACTGATGGCCACAGATACACACACACACACACACACACACACACAGAGAGAGAGAGAGAGAGAGAGAGAGAGAGAGAGAGAGAGAGAGACCCTCAGGGTCATGTGATAGCATTTTGGACACTTGGCAACTAGCCTATATTTATGGTTGACCATGATTTACAACGCTTTTGGCAGGCAACTGCCATTTACTTGTGCTTTCTAGCAAAAAGTGGGTACAATGGGTTCACTTAACGACTGCCCCATTTATTATTGACCATCACAAAAAACTGTAAAATTGGTCATAGTCACGTAGTGACCCGTTTAATGACCAACACAGTTTACAGCCATAATTTCAGGCTGTTATCCTAGTAAATCAAGAACTACCTGTATATTATTTGATTTGATGTAGCACCAGCTATCAAGGCCATTGAATAGATTATGGTGATAATAGATTGAAAACCAACACACAAAAATCCCCATTTAAGATAGCAATTAAAACAAAAATTTAAAAAAAGTTTAAAATGTCATAATTTATATTTAAAAGCTCATATAAAAAGATGTTTTTGCAGGTGCTTTATAAAGCTAATAAAGATGTTAAGCCTTCAGTGCTACAGGGAGTGCATTCTAGAGAACAGGCGCAGCCACTGAAAAGGCTCGATTACAGATAATTGTAAGCAAGTTACTTAAATATTCTTAGTAAAATGAAGGTTCATATAGGACGGGGGTGTCAAACTCGCAACGTCATGTGACGTGTCATAATGTATCATGACTTTTTTGCCATTGCCGGCAATGGGGAGGGTGCGGTTTTGCTATGATGCATCTGGCCGGCGGGCAGGCAGTTTGACACCCCTGATACAGGAGGTTTTCTTTCAAAAGCATTCTGGATGTGGAATTTTGGGAGCTGAAGTCCATGTATCTTAAAGTTGCCAAGTTTTGCAAAACACTGCTTTAAGCAGGGATGGGCAACTATAGTCCCTGTATGACCTGTGGACTTTAACTGGCTCAGGAATTCTGGAAGTTGAAGTCCACATGTTGTAAAAGGGCTATTGTTGTCCTGACTTTAAGGTAATCACCTACATTTTGTATTTGTCCCAAAGCAAAATTTCTCATGACCATCCTGGCTACAGGATGAATTAATTGAAATTTCAAACACCAAAATATCTCCATGTGATGCGGAATCAAAATGCTGAACCCAAAGCAAATAATCAAGGCTCACTGCAGTATTTATTATTAACAGTGAACACTGGAGAGGTTCTTCAAAAGAATAGTGGGAGACATACTCCTGCAGACAAAGTAAAAGACAAAGTCTTTCCTATCTTGTCATGTCCAAGTCTAGGGCACAGTACTCATCTCCGTTTCTTGGCTAAAGCCAGTGTTGTCTGAAGACATTTTCCATGGTCATGTGACCAGCATGGTTGAACACCAAGGTGCACAGAACTCTGTTATCATCCCACCAAAGTGATACCTATTTACAGTATCTACTTGAATTTGCATGCTTTTGAACTGCTAGGTGGGCAGGAGCTGAGGCAAGGAACGGGAACCCACCCTGTTGTGTGGGGCTCAGGGCTTGAACCGGGGTGTCAGCTTTTCAGCTGACAAGCTCAGCATCTTTAACCTCTGAGCCACTGCACCCTCTTTTGCAGATAAAGAGATGTCCTCATATTTCTACATTTCAGAAAGGAGGAGAAAATGATCCATGCATGTGTATTCATGTAATAATATAATAGATCTCAAGTTACTTCCTGCCCTTCTATTATCTACAAAGAGCAATAGTCTTAGTTAGAAGAAGCATTTACATCTTGAAACTTAGGCGGTTGCTATGGGATTCTGATAACATTTACTACAGGCCACTGTGAGCTACAAGGATACATTTCTTATGCCTCAGTTTGTCTATTAAACAATCCCATTCATCTGATTTTCACCACAGTGGAGCACAGAACACTAGTCAAGATAAAGGGTTTCACACCAAAAGGCTAACTTCATTATCTTCCGGACAATGGAGCAGTTGGTGTACTAACCAAAGCTGATAAAAGGTTCTTATGGATATGTACAATATCATAAGTTCACTGGTGAGAAAAGATAGGTCCTGCACTTAGACAGGAAAAATCAAATGCACAGGTACAGAATAGATAGAACCTGGCCCATCAGGAGTAGCTGTGAGAGGGAGCTAGCTGTCCTAAGTATGAACAGAAACGGCAGCTGCCAAAAAAACCTCAATGCAGCCCCGGACTGCATCAACAGAAGAATAGCATCAAAATCACAAGATCTATGGAAGTTCTCGATCATCCAGGTCATGGTTGTCCCAAAGACAGCTGGACTTTCTTGGTTTTTTTCTTTGAAAACATTTCACTTCTCATCCAAGAAGCTTCTTCAATGATAGTTCTGCTTTGTACTGCACTAGTGAGGCCACCCTTGGAATACTGCATTCACTTCTAGGTACCACAATACAGAAAAGATGCTGAGGCCCTGGAAAGAGTGAGAGAAGACCAACAATGATGATAAGGGGTATGGAGACTATACCATATGATGAATAGGTATGGGAACAAGGTATGTTTAACCTAAAAAAGAGAAGGCTTGGGGGGGGGGGTGACATGATAGCTTTCTTCCAATGCTTGAAGGACTGTCACAGTGTCTACTTACTCTCCAAAGAACCTGAGGTTAGGATAAGAAGCAATGGGTAGAAATTCATCAAAGGAAGATCCAACCTGGAACTAAGGAGAAATTCCATGACAGTGAGAACAATGGAGCAGTTTATCTCCTGAAGTTGTGGGTTCTCCATCATCAGAGGTTTTCAAGAAAAGACTAGACAACCATTTGTCCAGGATGGAATAAGGACTGGTCAGGAGTTTGAACTAGAAGACCTCCAAGGTCCCTACTAGCCCTATGATTCTATGTCCTCACTCAAGGAAACTAGAGAGAGATTTGGGTTCAGAGGCAATGCTTGTCTTTCTGAGAGACTATAACCCCATTCAACAGAGGAGGATCTACCACTTCTCTAGATAGCTGATTCCTCAAACATCAGCATGTCTACTCTGTTTTGAATTCCGATTCAGTTTTCTAACCCTCATCTAGCTGATTGCTGATAGTGGGCAGGTTTTATGGAGTCATTCCATCTCCTGAACAAGGGAAATCAATGTGGGTGTCACAAGGATAATTACCAGAGTACCCAATTTTAAATCTCCTGATGATTTCCTCAGTGATTTCATGTAAATATTGGAAAACATTACTAGAACCTTGACAACATTATACTGAAATCTATCCAAAAGACAGGAACAGAGCCACAACCAAATTTACCTTCAAATACTAAATATAGTCAATTGACACAAGAAAGTTATAATCAGTTGACACAAGAGATTTAGAGGTCAAGAAGAACTGATGGTCTGTTTTCACTCATATAAAGAGCATTCATTGGAATGACTAAAACAGATTCAATCCCATACCCAGTTTGAAACAGATCGAGATAATCCACTTCTTCTAGTTGAAAAGCTGCCAATCTTTCAATCACTGTACTCTGCAATGAGAAAGGCTGTGAAAACCCAAATTTCATTTTTCAGATCAAATTTGACACCTTCTGGATAATTTTTGTCTAGTTGCTGTCTTTAACCCAAAGCTCACTGCTTATTTGGCCACTGGTTTTGCAAATTATTGGATTTGTTGAGAATGAAGTTTAGGGTTACTAGATCTGATCTGAAAATACCCAGATGACAGTAGATGGCAGCAGATGTAATTGTTCTTCTTCTTGTGCCATATCCATTATCGAACGTTGGCGATCATGTTGGCAATCCTGTTTTTATCAGCAGCCGCAGATGTACAGGATCCGCGAGATGCAGGCAGCACACAAAACCACGCACCCTCTGGTCTGCGGAAACACTTCTCTCCATGGAACCAGTCCCTGGTGCCCAAAAGGTTGGGGATCTCTGCTGTAGAACACTTCTAGAAGTCTGAATTTAATTGAATTGAATCAAATTCTGGGAGTCCATGCATCTTAAACCAGCTGAGGCTAAGAAACACTGCTGTTAAGCCTCCATGATTAAATTGTATTCTTTATGAGATTTTTCTATTTAATTAATATTAATTTAATTAATGGATTTTTCTATTTAAAACATGAATTTTTGTACCAGGTATATCCCAATGATGTGCACTTTTCAGTAGTGAGTGAATTGTGAATTATACAGCAACCTCCTGGAATGGGCAGAAATTTTCAACAGGCATTTTGAAAGTATCAAATATATCCCAATATCCTGTGTGTGATTACAGGAGACCAACCCCTCCAGTTAAACTTTACATTTTCTCTTTCTTTATCCCGCCAATTTTCCATCCCATTTTCATAGTTATTGTGTTTTTTTTCCCCTAAATTCATACATATCTCACTTCCCAAATTAACATAAAACAGACATTCACTTCTTCATCACACACACATTTGGAAGTGTGTGTGTGTATGTGTGTGTGTGTATATAATTTATAAATGCAGTGCTCTACATGATTCTGTAAACACTTTCCCTTGTCCATTTTGAGAACAGAATATTCAGATAAATATGACAACAAAGAATAATTGCAATTAAATTTGTGTATTTATTGAGGAACAGGAATGAGCTAAATTCATGACCGTGACCTAAACCGTCTCTGCCACAAAGGATTTGGCATAATGACTCACAATACAAGAAATCCAATCTTTCTCTCCTCACTAGCAATTTC